GGGAGCTTCTTGTGTCCTATGAGGGAAATCCATCAGAATTACACTTCTGGTCTCCCTCTTCACCCTCTGAGTCCTCCTCAGGAGAGGAGAAGTCAACTGTCTGATGAGCAAGTCTGTGAAAAGGCACAAAGCATAGGTTCCCCATCTCTTCCTTTGGGTCCCACCTGCCTGCCACAGGAGCCCATGTTCTCTCTGCTCTCCAGCCTGTCAGTGATATAGAGCAGGGGTCCCCAAACCCTGGATTGTAAACTGGTATCAGTCTGTGACCTATTAGGAACCAGGCCACACAACAGAAGGTGAGCAGTGGGCAAGCAAGCATTGCCACTGAGCTCTACCTCCTGTCAGATCAGCGGAGGCATTAGCTTCTCATAGAAGTGCAAACCCTACTGTGAACTGCACATGTGAGGGATCTAGGCTGCACACTCCTTATGAGCCACTCCTGCCTGATGATCTGAGGTGGAACAGTTTCATCCCAAAACCATCCCCATACCCCTCCATGGGAAAATTGTCTTCCACGAATCTGATCCCTAGTGCCAAAAAGGTTGAGGATCACTAGTATAGAGGGAGGCACCCCTATGATGAGTAAGTTTGCTGCTGGGTACAATATCAGCAAGCCTACTTACCCTCCAACCCCAAATCAGAAAAAATAACCCACTGTAGCCTTGTGATAAAATTGATGTTTTTTATCTCCTATGTGACTCCTTTTACTCTGTGATGCAGTTCTGAATTCAAGTTGGGTAAGGGTCATCATTTATGAGGCTGCCAAAGCCCAGTGTTTACCATGACTGCTTCTATTTGTCACAAATGTTTGACACTATCTCATTTCCCATTTTCCTAGTCACTGGTATTATTACTTAGCCTTAAAATATTAATGGTGATGGGTAGTTTCTTCCCTCTCCTACAGGAGGAAAACATAGAACCTGAGCACTGAATGACTTATCAGAAGATTTTGGTAAGCCAATTTGTTCATTTTTGATGGAAAATTCAGATCCCTTAATATAGATGTCATTAAGAGCACATGGCCTTCCATTAAACATGCCTTTCTTGGGGAGAGAGGTGAGTGTTGAATATTGGAAGTCATTTTTCTGCCATGTGAGAGGTGCTATTCTGCCAGACATGGAATAGAAATTACTGTGTACAATGTCCACTCTCCATACTTTTTTCATAAATCTCTGAGGATAAAGCAAGAAAAGGAATTGGGGATGAGGAGTAAAAAACCTTTCTCTAGCTCTGGGGACGCATGCATTTATATGTTATTCATGAAACAATGACTGTGGGCCTCTGAAGTGCCAGGCACCATCCCTGGAATACAAAGATGAACATGACACTGTCCCTAATGAATCCACTTTTTTCTTCTCCCTGAATAATATTGCAACCCATTTCTGTTAGTAAACATCAGCAGGCACAAACATCTACACAGTCTGTCCATAGAGAATGGATTGGTTTGGGGTCCCTGGTACCTGTTTCCTAGAGGTCCTAGTTCCTACTCCTGATCATTTGCTTCACAAGACACTGGTTTTTTAAAAAAAGACAATGGATGCCAATATAATCCTAAACCAAATACAGACAATAAGGTTGTACTCTGTTTTGTGGCTGGAATGCACACCTGTAAGCTGCCCATAAATGCAAAACATGGGTCACAATCAGGCTAGTAGACAAAAGTAGGATGATGCAATTAAATTGAGAAGAAAACATAACCCAAAGTAGCCACAGAACAATAAACTAAGAGCACCTCTTTTTCATCTTAAACACACAGCTGCAGGTTCAGTAAAATGAGTGAACTACTTGCTATTAACACTTTTACAAGTTCAAGTTTACTTACAAATGTTACACATAGTAAAAACCTTCTAATTTGTTACTAATTAGAAAAACTGGCTGGCATGAATAAGTGAAAATTCAGGATATAAAACACATGCTAAATAGTATACCTTTTCTCAAGAGGGATGACAGTATAAGTAACATTTACTTAGGATCCAGGTTCCAGACATCCTTCTAGAAGCCCTCTTCTTTATTTAATCCTCACAATGTTCCCAGCAAGTAACCAGTAGTGAGCCCTTTTTTTTTTTTTTTTTTCCAGATATGAAAACTACAGCTTAGTTGTTAAGTAATCCGTACTGTATTTTCTATTTCAGTTCCTCTGGCAAAACTCCTTATTCTCTGAAGCAGCATTTCTCAGTGAGTTGAGTAAACTGGTCATTACTTGCCATGGCTTGGCAAATTGATACAGGATGGCAGTGCACTGCAGGACATTTATTATCTCTGGCCACAGGCACAAAATACCAATAGCAGCCCCCAGCAGCAGTTCCTACATATCCCAAATGTGCCCAGGGACAATGTTACTCAGCAGTAGATGTAAACTACTGCTCTAAAAGATTTTTGGGGCATCAAGATAAAAGACTAAAGAGATGAACACTTCCTTTAAATGTCTCCTGTCTTCAAATCTGTCAGACATCTCTTATTGTATGGCATTTAGGCTTCTAAGAAAGCCCCATTTACCCTTATAGAACCAGTTACAAAAGCTCCATGAGTATATTTGCCATGTAATTCATGAGCACTGAGTACCTATTATGGGCCAAGTACTGTGCTATGAACTGGGAATATAAAGTCCAAGTCAAACCCTCAAGGGGCTTAGAGTCTAGTAAGAGACAGGTTAAGTATGTTAAATGTTAAGATAAATGTGAGCAGGAGGCACCTCCCATAGACTGGAAAGACTGCTGAGAAGGCAGAAGGAAAAGGAGGACTAGGACAGGTTCCCAGAGGAAATGACATTTTCTCTGAGACTTGAAAGACCAAGCAGGAGTAACTAGAAAGGGACTGATCCAGGCTGACATCTTTGCAAAGACCAAAGATAGGAATCATATTTGCAGTTAAGGATTAAAATTCATTATTTGAGACCTCATTGTGAATCAAAGTCAGAATCACCTGTTTACTAGACAGGTACTTTAACCAAATAAGTCACTAGAAATTAAATTCTCCATAGTCCACATGTACTCCCTTCCTAAGTTCTTGTTTTTGTAAAGTCTGGCTTCACTGGTGTAATCACCCATCAGGCAAGAAATAGGACAAATTTATAGTTCTTTTTTTTTTTTTTTTTTTTTT